TAAAAGTTCAATTCTCTGTAGATGTTAATTACTATTTACACACTCACACAGGGTTATCCAAAAGTCACCTACCACCCCTGTAACTTTTTCCCTAATTGGGATAAACTTTGGCAATATTCCTCGGTCTAAAGTAACAACTTTTTGGTCCCCCCAAAATTTTGGGGGGCGGCCTCCCCTAAGGAGGACGGGGGCTAACTTTGTTTTTCTAATGGCAACCCCCCTTTTGTGTTACCTCATTCGAAAGATAATAAGAAAAGAAATTTTTTGGCGCAAACCGCAGGTCAAAATGTTGATTTTTGACAAAATGGCGGCCGGTCAAAGTTCAAAATGGCGGCAATTTGGCATCTCCGTTTTTTACCGGCGGATTGGTCTGAAACGCTGAATCCTCAAGTTTTTCGGGACGATAAAAACAACTCTGGCATTAGTTTTCCAGAAAAGTCAGTCCTTTTCAAAATGGCGGCGGTTGAAATCGCGGCTTAGAACGGGAACAGGATATTTAGGCTGCTTATCGTTAGATTTGTATGAGACTTGGTATCCGGGGGTATTTCGGCATGAGAAGAACGAATCTCTCATTGGATTTTTAGAATTTCGAAAAACTTTAAAAGGGCGGCGAAAAAATTACGGGAAATCCATATCTCGGCTGTTTACCGATGTATTTGCACGAAAGTCGATGCTCTGGTGGTTTTTAGCTCGAAAAAACTTAATCTTTCATTAGATTTTTGAAATACTAACTACTTTAAAAATGGCGAAGGAAAAATCGGTGTTATGGCCAGTGATATAGATTTCCCGTAATTTTTCGCTGCCCTTTTAAAGTTTTTCGCCCCTGTCTTCCATACAATTCAATGCTTTTCCGGGCTCATCTCAATGTGTAGTTATGCCCTTGTGTCAGATAGGCGACGAATTAATGTTAAAACTTTAAGAGTAAGGGATACTTTATGCGGGAAAAGAAGTTTATTCTAAGTAGCCTAGGTACAAAATGACAATTAAATGCTAATCCATAAGTTTTTATAACATTATGTACCCTATTTTGATGAGAGAAGTTTAAACTAATCAAAACATTAACTTTCATTGATCGCAAACTCAATCACCCTCTTTTAATGTTAGTTGATCGAACAAGGAGTCCTAGTTCTGCTCATTGAAAATATTATTCTCAGTTTCTCTGTCTCCAGCTAAATGTCTCATTAGCTTCACATCATTCTAAAAACCACCTGATATAAACTGCAAAAACTTTCAGATTTAAAGGGGTAAAGACTCCGGCAAAAGTCTTAAACTCAGTGAGCCAAATTGTCTTGTTAGGTACTTCTAAAAGGAAATGAAAAATTATACTTCACTGTAAATCGAATGTAGGCCCCTTCATTTATGTGTCATGCAACAGTCATGACGTGTAAGTATGTTTAGCCCTTGCAGGAGCGGTTCCCTTCCTTCACTTATTTGCATTTTTATCAAAAGTAAAAAAAAATTGTCGGTATGGATTAATCTGAGCCTTCTATGTGCTCCAAAAAAATATGAAATATTTTATCGCACTAAGTCCAATATTTTTCGATTCAGGTCCTTCAAATGCTTTTAAGGTGAGATTGTAGTCCTATCTTTCCCCATGTAATTTTGGTCAACTTCAGGTACAGTTTTTGAGAGAACCATCTGCCCTAGGAAGTTGAAATTTGGCATGCATATGTGTCATAATAAGGAGATTGGAGTTAACCACTTTTTAAATTTTTTTTTTACTTTTATAAATTTTTTTTTGGTTTTGAAAAAACGTATTAAATTTTACTTTTTTCCCCTTCTCTATTTGAGTCTTATTAATAATCTTATTGTTACTCAACATTTTAAGCAGGTTAGACCTGTAGAGCTTAAAAAATCCGAAATTTCTTCCAAAAAATGAGCCTTCTAGGTCAAATATTTCCCGAGAAAAGTGTACCTAAAGGAAAAAAACACAATTTTTCAGGAGAGCACTTCAAAGTCTTTAAATGGTTTTGACCTTGACCTTGAAAAGTTTATCCACACATAAACAATCACGCCGCGAAACAAGAAGTTTTTTTTAATATAATACATAATATATATTTATATATATAATATATATAACATATACATTATATAATTTATATAATATAATATTATATATATATAAGTTATATAAGCTATATATATGATCGTTTATAATCGAAATTTTTGGATTCCTGCTTTTCCACATATAAATGGTGATATGTTCATTAATTTTCCTACAAACCCCATACTATTATATACCAAAATACTCAGGAAGATACGTAGAATAAGAAAAAAATATAAACAAAAAATGTTACAAAATTCGATTTTTTGACTACAATCTCTCCTTAAAAGAGCATGAAAAAAATACCCAATCGGCTGGCTGAATTCCAGTATTTTCCATCACTCATTCAAGGAGGAGACTATTCTCAAGAAAAATGCTGGACTTCAGCCAGTCGATTGAGTATTTCTTCATACTCTTTTAAAAGCATTTGTAGGACCTGAATCGAAAAATATTGGACTTTGTGCGGTAAAATATTTCATATTGTTTTGGAGCACTTACAGGGTGTACCAAAAGTCCGTCCCACCCCTGCTAACTTTTGAACGAATTGAGCTAGGGTAATGAAACTTTGGGAATGTTCCTATCTCAAAGGGGACCATCTTTTGGGGGGGGGGGTCAAAATTTTGGTCCCTCCTCAGGGGGGGGGGGCGCGGGGGCCCTTAACTTTTTTTTTCAAATGGCAACCCCTATCTAGTGATACCTCATTCGAAAGACCATAAAAAACTAAGAATTTTGGCGCAAACCGCAGATCAATATCTTAATTTTTGACCAAGTTATGATAGGTCAAAGGCCAAATTTGACCTATTTTCAAAAAATCATAACTCCGGTTCAAATTATCGCAAAGAAAAAAATAAAACGAGAAAATTTACCAAATTGTGTCCGCTTTTAAGTAATATTGCAGAAATCACTCCGATTTAATTTTAAGGGGGGGGGGGCCTCGGACCCCCAAATACGTCAATTCAAAGGCCATTCAATTTTCCCGCAAAATAAGCCAATTTCCCCTAGATTTGCTTCCACATTATCACAGTAAGGTCAAAATCAGTTCAACAATAAGTTGACAAGTCCTGAAATTTCGGGAAATGTTAAAAAAAGCAAAATTTAATCACCTTAAATTTCGTTTTTTTTTAAAGTGGAGGCAAATCTAGGGGAAATTGGCTTATTTCGCGGGAAAATTGAATGACCTTTGAATTGACGTATTTGGGGGTCCGAGGACCCCCCCCCCCCTTAGAATTAAATCGGAGTGATTTCTGCAATATTACTTAAAAGCGGACACAATTTGGTAAATTTTCTCGTTTTATTTTTTTCTTTGCGATAATTTGAACCGGAGTTATGATTTTTTGAAAATAGGTCAAATTTGGCCTTTGACCTATCATAACTCGGTCAAAAATTAAGATATTGATCTGCGGTTTGCGCCAAAATTCTTAGTTTTTTATGGTCTTTCGAATGAGGTATCACTAGATAGGGGTTGCCATTTGAAAAAAAAGTTGGGGGCCCCCCGCCCCCTCCCTTTGGGGGGACCAAAATTTTGACTCCCCCAAAAGATGGTCCCCTTTGAGATAGGAACATTCCCAAAGTTTCATTACCCTAGCTCAATTCGTTCAAAAGTTAGCAGGGGTGGGACGGACTTCTGGTACACCCTGTAGAAGGCTGAGATCAATCCATACTGACTTTTTTTTACTTTTGATAAAAATGCAAATAGGTAAGGAAGGGGGCTCCTGCAAGGGCTAAACATACTTACACGTCATGACTGTTGCATCACTCATAAATGAAGGGGCCTACATTCGATTTAAAGTGAAGTATAATTTTTCATTTCCTTTTAGAAGTACCTACCAAGACAATTTGGCTCACTGAGTTTAAGACTTTTGCCGTAGTCTTTACCCCTTTAAGTCTGAAAGTTTTTTGGGGTTTTTGCAGTTTACACTTATCAAATATGCTAAGTTTTTAGACAGATGGGCGAAAATTTGAAATAAGGGGCATTCTTGTCCCTCGTCTTTTTTTGGGGCATGTGTGTGTTCTACTTCCATTTTTTTGGCTTAAATATGAACACAACATTTTCCTCTGCAAAGTATGTAGGAATAATAATGTTCCTTTGTATTTTTTAAATTTTGAACAGTACCAGACTCAGGTCCGTCATGCATCCCTACTCCAAGGCTCCTATTTTGCACTGATGCAACTTAAAGAATAAAATGTTTTTCGAAAGCTTGAACAGCATTGAAGTAAATAAACGTTTTTTACTTGATACGCTTTTTTTTTTTTTTTTTTTTTTTTTTTTTTTTTTTTTTTTTTAATCATGCATGCCATTTGTTAAAGGATATCTACCAGGCTAGATATCTGGTGTTCATTTGGTTCCGTTTCCAAAAATGCTGTGTTTCTGTCTCAAAACTCAAACACATCACAAATGGTGCAGTTTGAATAGGAAAAACAATGTGAAAAAAAATCGAAAAAAATTGGAGCCATGTACGTTTTTACTTCCCAGAAACCATCCGGAAATGAGAAAACACAACTTCCCAAGTAGCAGAGGTTGCAACAACTTGCAACAAAATCGTTTAATTCTTGCTTTAATAGATTGATGTGCAGATTGCCTACTCTCTCCCGCGAAGGAGCTATCATTGTCGGAACTAGTTGCAATTAAGTTGAAACATGTTGCAACTTTAAAGTACTGCTGGTTGCCTATCTTCAGATTTTAAATAACTTTGGTGCAGTAATTTTGCAATCTCAGCAGGTTGCAACTTTGTTTTCCGATCAGATCGCCGAAAATCGGCACTTTTCGACCAAAAGTTGACCGAAAGTTGCAACTAATACCAACATTTTTTCAACTTTTTCCAACTTTTACATTGAAAAACGCTACTTGGGTTCCAGGGAAAATGATGAGCTTGATCTTTTTACTTTTTCCGCCTTGAAATGTCCCCTGCTTATTTTGAATTTTCGCCCTGGTATGAAAAGAGCATATCTGGCTTACTTGTTTTTTCAGCTGATGATTATCTTGTTGCAAACGCTCTCGCTCCTCAACTTCTGAATTAAGGCGAGCCTGGAGCTCTCGATGTTCAGCTTGCTGTTGCTGAGTGGAACCGCTGAGTTTTGTTACTTGCTCTTGAAGAGACTGAACGTTAGAAGTTGCTTGTAGCAGCTGCCTCTCCATCTCTCCATTTTGCGTCTGAAGTCTCACTCGCTCACACTCCAGCTGAGTTCGTGTGTCCTCTAATACTAATAAAAAAAAAGAAATAAATAAATGAACAAATAAATGGGTATATAAATAAATAAATAGAATAGAAAATCCAACTCCCCAGCTGCCAGCCATTTCTCGTTATGCTTATATTTCAACGCAAACGGTTGGACTGTAAATGAAACGCACAAGGGGAGAAAAAACAGGGATAGACTTGGGATAAGGAAAAAAATGTGAAGAGTTTAACGAATTCCGCATTGAAAAATGAAAGGAAAATCGGGAAAAAGGGAAAAATTAAATCACAAGACAAAAATAATGAGAACTGACAAGAGACAATTTTTTAATGTAAGGGCGCAATGAAAATCCTTGCAATATTTTGGTTTCTAAATGGTGTTACGGCTCATTTTCGATAAAGTTAGTATTCATTGTTAATTCTCTCGGTCTCGGTCTCTTTTTTTTCACTTGTTTTTGTACTTTTTCATTTACTTAATCTAGTTTGTATAGGGAGAGTTATGGTATTGGTTGGATTAATCATTACAATAGGCCTTTTTTCTTTCCATTTTTGATGTTGTATGAGCGACTAAGTCATAAAAATACTTGTAACTTTATTATCAATCAAAAGCCAATGTCAGTTTCTAAAGCTTGCTTGTGAAAAATTGAAACGCTTCACCATTGTTAACGTCATATTTTCCTAAAAACAGAAAGCAAAAATTTTACTACAGCAGGGCAAACCAAAAGCAAAACAAAAAAAAAAAAAAAAAAAAAAAAAAAAAAAAAAAAAAAAGAAAGAAAGAAAAAACAGCAACAAAAGAAAAAAGCCAAGAGAGACAAAGAGGGGGAGAGGAGGCGAGAGAGAAGAAAAGAAAAAAAAGAGAAGAGGGGGACCTAGATTGCAAGCTTTGAATCAACCCAAAAGAGAGTCCAGCATAAAAAAGCAAAACAGCAACAAGCAATAAAAGAGAGAAAAAAGACATAGAAGCAAAAAACAAACAAAAAAAATTGTTCAAAGTCAAAGTAAGAGAGTGCAAAAGCGAGCATTTTTTTTGCATTAGAGTATAATGGTAGTGTTTACGCCCGTGTGAGGGGAGCGGAGGGGCTAGAGTCTGCCCGAGAGCGCTCTCAAAAGAGGAGAGCTGGTGGGGACGATTAGCGATCGCGAATGATCGCAACGTCCATAGCGATGGCCCTTTGAGGATGGAAAAGAGGAGGGGGGGGAGGAAGGTCCCACCGAGATACTCAGAAGGGCTACCAGCCGAGATACTCAGCCGCGATGGGAGGGAAGGGAGAGGGAGAGAAATCCTCCCAACTGAGAAACTCAGTCGGGTCTGAAGGAGAAAAGAGACTTCTCAGCCGAGATGCTCAGCCGAGATGAAAGAGAGAGAGGGGGAGAGAGAGAGAGAGCCTCAGCCGAGAAGCTCAGCCGAGAAGAGAGAGAGAGAGTCTCAGCCGAGATGCTCAGCCGAGATGAAAGAGAGAGAGAGAGAGCTCAGCCGAGATGCTCAGCCGAGATGAAAGAGAGAGAGAAAGAGAGCTCAGCCGAGATGCTCAGCCGAGATGAAAGAGAGAGAGAGAGATAGAGCTCAGCCGAGATGCTCAGCCGAGATGCTCAGCCGAGATGCTCAGCCGAGATGCTCAGCCGAGATGCTCAGTCGAGATGCTCAGCCGAGATGAAGAGAGAGGAAGAGAGAAATCTCAGCCGAGATGCTCAGCCGAGAGATGAAAAGAGAAGAAGAGAGAAAATCCCACCGAGATACTCAGCCGTGTTGAGAAGAAAAAGAGAAGAGAGAGAAATCTTCCCAACCGAGAAGCTCAGTCGGGTCTGAAGAGAAAGAGAGAGAGGTCCCAGCCGAGATGCTCAGCCGGGTAAAAGAGGGAGAGAAGGTAATTCTATGTATTACTGTGCAGCGCAGAGAGAAGACCAGGATCGAAAGCAGAGAGACTTGACCAGGAGCGCAAGGAGACAACCTCACTGAACGAGCAGCGTTGATCGAGTGATGACCGCACGCCTGGCGGCTGCCTTTTTATGGACGACACGCGTGGACGCGTCGGACGCGGCCGGGAGCCGCGCCGCGGGTCGGACGGACTTACGACCGGTTGGACCGGTCGCCGAGTCGCGGCGGCATGGCATGGCTGCCAGGTTGCGCAGGTTGCGTAACATAGCCGCCGGCTAGTTACGTTAATGTCGGAGAGTCGTTGCGGCGTTAACAGGTAGCAGGGAGTTAGGGTTGTGCTTGGAAAATTTTTTAAATTACTCGCAGTCCGACTCGATAGGGTGCAAACAGGTGAGATCTAGTTTCATAAACTCTGACTCCCAAATGAGGAGAGAGAGACTTACTGAGAGGGACTTATAGGGGGGGCCGGGTCTTAAATCATGTAACACCAAAATAACTACTACCAAGAAAAGAGCAGTCGTTCCAGCATCACACAACCCATCTTGAGATCACACAAAAAGCCACTGAGAATGAAAGCTTTCCCCGGCAAAGCTTTCAAAACCCACCCATATTACTAAATAAATAAATAATTGATAAAACCACAGTTGATTTTAATCAACAGAATGATTATTTTTGAAAAAACTATTGGGGCTTCCCTCCAATGTAATAAGTCAAAGGTTAAATAGCTCTCAATGTAAGAAACTTTTTAAGGGAATACAGTTGTTGAAAAAATCTACTGCCACTTAGGGAAACAGTCTGAATTTGAGATTTAATGATTTACTTCCATGCTTAGTTTTTAAAGGAAAACTCATAATCATTTTTGCTTAAAATGTTGAGAAACTGCGTTACATATGACAGAAAAATTAAGGATATTATTCCAAGAAGTAATGCTTCAAGGTGAGGTTCTTGTGTTGTAATGGTTGCAGCACTTGCCCTATGACGAGAAGGCTATGGTTTGATTTTTGGTTTGGTTTCTGAACTTTTATCTCAATTAGGAATTGCCCTGGGGATGGAGCTAGAGGTTGAGCAAGATTGGGTGGAGGGGGGTGCGGTTAAGTGCAGGTGTGGTCTCAAAGGGCTATTTACAGCTTAAGAAATAAAAAAAGTTTCTTTATCATTACAATATAAAACGTCATAGAAAATTTTGAAAAATTGTGGATTTTAACAGCTAAATTTTGCAAATTGAGAAAACAAATTAATCATGCAGATAAAACGAACATAATAAAAGAAAAAAAATAAAAAAATGAAAAGTCTTACTTACATGATAACTTCTGTAAGGCTTCGTCTAAATTTCTTGCTTGCTCTCTTTTTTCACTTTCACAGCGTTTGACAAACTCTCTTAAGTCTTTGTTTGAACTACAATACTTGTCTTTTTCAATGTTAGCATCGCTGAGTTGCCTTCTTACATCACTCAACTCTTTCCGGACAGCTTCTGTTGAGTTTTCCACTGTGAGGAAATATTAAGGATATTTAAAACAAGGTTTATACGGAAACTTCATGACATGATGTCATCATATTATTACATTCATCACAAAAATTCGATAAAAATACGATAATTTTTCAACTATCTAAACGCTGTTATTTATTAAAATACAGGGTGTACCAAAAGTCCGTCCCACCCCTGCTAACTTTTGAACGAATTGAGCTGGGGTAATGACACTTTGGGAATGTTCCTATCTTAAAGGAGACCATCTTTTGGGGGGGGGGTCAAAATTTTGGTCCCCCCTCAGGGGGGGGAGGCCGCAGGGGGCCCCCAACTTTTTTTTTCAAATGGCAACCCCTATCTTGTGATACCTCATTCGAAAGACCATACAAAACTAAGAATTTTGGCGCAAACCGCAGATCAATATCTTAATTTTTGACCGAGTTATGATAGGTCAAAGGTCAAATTTGACCTTTAAGGTGATTAAATTTGACCGTTTAAATTTCGTTTTTTTTTAAACTTTTCCCGAAATTTGGGGGCTCGCCAACGTATTGTTGAACTGATTTTGACCTTACTGAGATAATGTGGAGGCAAATCTAGGGGAAATTGGCTTATTTCGCGGGAAAATTGAATGACCTTTGAATTGACGTATTTGGGGGTCCGAGGACCCCCCCCCCCCTTAGAATTAAATCGGAGTGATTTCTGCAATATTACTTAAAAGCGGACACAATTTGGTAAATTTTCTCGTTTTATTTTTTTC